GACCTTGAAGATTGACATCTCAAAGTATAGGGGAGTCGAAGAGGACTCCCTCTTGAGATTTTTCGTCGAATTGGATGACGCCATAAGGGCGCGTCGCATCGACGACGGCGATATGCAAGTTGCATTTGCCCAGTCAAATCTGGCAGGACGTGCCAAGACTTGGGCACTGGGGCTCAAGTTGCACGACCCGTATGCGTTTGGGCCGTTGGAAGTCTTCAAGTCGCGGCCCAGACAAACGTTTGAACCGCCTAGAGCTGAGTTCAGAGCTCGAACTGAACTCTTGAAGCTCAAACAGGGTAAGCGTGATGTGCACGCTTACGCTCAACATATACGACATCTTACGAGTTGTATAAGTTACAATCCGGTGGATGAACACACGTTGGTTTCGGTGTTCATGCAGGGTCTTGTGGATGGTCCCGTCAAGACTCACCTGTTCCGACTTGAACTAGATTCACTAGAACAAGCCATTACCATTGTGGAACAGGAAGACTTCAGTCTGAGACAGGCTCGCGCCAGCTCGACATCACATCGTCAACCGAGACGATATGAAAACGGAGGTCCAGAGCCGATGGAACTCTATTATGTAGGAAGCGAGAAGGCTCGCTCTACAGGCTACAAGAAGTTGCAGAGATGCAACAGATGTCAGAAGACAGGACACTACGCTTACGAGTGTAGTGCCCCTCGTCCAGTGTCTCGCGACACTGGGCGTAGTGACCGTCCACCCATGAGAAAGGGGCAGGGACGCGGATCCGCTGTTGGTGCAAAGACGCAACAACGCGATGGACCGTCAAAAAACGGACAGGATCAGTAGGTGCGGAGCACCCTACTGGCTCAGCAACGTCAAGATAATTTGTAGGCCTCTTGATGAAGGTTGCTCCCAACACACAAACGTTGTACGTTGCTGCTCTAGGTAATGAGATCTCACTCATTACCTTGAAACTCGAAGTGACGAATAAGTTGTCCCTTCGAGCTCTAGTCGATTGTGGGGCGTCTAACAATTTTGTGCGACGCCAATCGCTAGAAGATGGTCACTTAAAATTCAGTGAATGTGACACACCTCCAACGAGGATGACGGTACGTCTTGCGACAGGCGCATCCGTAACCGTCATGAAGCGTACAGTGAAGATTCACTATACGCTAGAAGATACCCAATATGACGATGACTTCATCGTATTGGATTTGGATGACAAATTTGATGTCATCCTTGAAATACCGTGGCTCAGAAGGTACGAACCACGGGTAAACTGGCAACATCGAACAGTAACGATGCCTGCCGCTTGATTATCAGATGGCCATCTGATGAACGTTTTGGAGCGTCCACAAGCGTGTGGATGTACTACGAGTGAGTGCGATGGCCTCACTTGTGGTACGGTCGTTAGTACGACTGCACAAAACCTTAGTGTACCAAACGGTTACACTTCGGAGCAAAGTTCCGGCGGCTGTGAGGAAACACAGGCTGCGCCGAAGGTCCACCACTCGAATAAGTCGGGTGGACCGGGACAAAGATGTATCCCTAGAGGGGAACATCTAGAAGAGAAACAATCGATTGCTCCGGTTAAGCGAAACGATAATCCTAGATCGACTGGAGAGTCTTTCGTAGAGGATCTCGCTGTGGTTGCGCAATCACAGCCAGAGGAAGTAAAGGGAATAAGTCCCGATATTACAAATACGACGGACATAAGTTCCACGAAACCCGCGGGAATAAGTCCCCGGGAAGCCGAAGGAATAAGGCCTTCGAGGCCTGAGGGAATAAGTCCCCAGAAAATGACAGAGACAGTGAATGTCTTGGTGAATGACGGATCAAGTGTAGGCGCTTATACACTTGATCTGATTACGCCTCCGAAGTTGACTTCGGAGATCACTCAGTTGCCAACGCTCGAACACAAAAGGTTCTCGCGTGATCTGCGTAGTGGCAAAGTCAAGCAGATCTGCGTACTCGTCGCTGACGACGAGTGCGTAGCCGACATAAGGTCAGCAACAGTGTTTACTGAGAGCGAGAGAGTTCTCAGTAGTTCATCGATGGACGAGAATGTCCTAGATGAAAAGACACGAATTGAGCGATACGACTCCCAATCGTGGGAATCGCTCAAGACAAATCCTCTCGATGAAGACTTGGTTAAATTCAAGGATGTATTCCCTGAAAATGTTCCGTGCGAGTTACCGAAGGATAAAGGTATTCGACACGAAGTCGAGCTTAAACCAGGCTTGAAGTACTGTGTCACAAAGCAGTGGCCACTGCCTCGTGAACAAGTACTTGCGATCGACAAGTTCTTTGCCGATCGTTTAGCTGCGGGCCACGTGAGGGAATCAACTTCCCCACATAGCTCTCCGACCTTCTGTGTGCGAAAAGCAACAGGAGGGTGGTGGATAGTGCATGCATTTAACAAGTTGAATGCTGCAACGGTACCGGCCCAGACGCCGATACCGAGGAAGGATGTAATCATTGATGGTGTATCAAAGAGTACCATCTTTTCGTCCATGGATTTGATGGATGGCTTCTATCAAATCCTTATGCGAGAACGGGAAATACCCTATACCGCAGTGAGCACGCCTAGCGGCATGCTCTGGGAATGGCTGGTAACGCCACAAAGGCTCAGTAATGCCCCTGCCACGTTCAACAGATGTGTATCACATCTGTTGAGACCAGTACGAGAATTTGCGCCGAGTTATTTCGATGACGTATTCATCCATAGTCGGGCTATGGATGGAAAGTCGGACGTTGATGTTCGCAGATACCACGTCCGACAGGTTCTTACAATCATGCGAAAGCATCAATTGTATGCTAACCTCAAGAAGTGTATATTTGCAGCAAGCGAAATACCACTTCTTGGGTGCATCGTTGGTAAGAACGGTGTACGTCCTGATCCCGAAAAGATCAAGGCGATCACCGACTGGCCGGTGCCGGTTGATGTCAAAGGTCTTCGAAAAAAAAATTCCTTGGCCTAGCGGCGTATTTGCACAAGTATTCACGCAATTACGCCGAGATGACTGTGCACCTCTCTCGTTTATTGAAAAGAAAACGAGAGGTGGGTATGGAACGCTGAATGTCAGCGTTCCTTTGAGGGTATCAAAAAAAGCTTGATACAATCCCCAGTCCTATCAATTGCCGATCAGGACAGGCCATTTCATTTGGTCTGTGATGCCAGCGATTTCGCAATCGGCTGTGCATTAATGCAGTACGACCTTGAAGGCGTTGAACGCGTCGTCTGCTATCAGTCGCGTCAGCTGCAACCAGCTGAGCGGAACTATCCAGTTTATGACAAGGAACTCCTTGCCATGAAGTACGCACTCGCGAAGTTCAGAGTCTATCTATTAGGAGATAGACCCTTCATTGTTCACACTGACCATGCGTCGTCACGCACGGCAGTAAACAGCCCGCACCTTTCACAAATGATGGCGCGGTGGTTGTCATTCTTTGCGGAATGCAACTTTACGGTCGAGTACAAACCAGGACGACTCAATGTCGTCGCTGATGCACTCTCACGTCGTCCCGACTTTGAAACAGTCGCGAAACCCAACAGTGAGACAGTCACTGCTGCGGTTATGACGTCCTCAGTCCCATCTACAACGTTGTATGATGATGTGAGGCGGGCGTATGCCCAAGATGGTGAGATAGTGAAGTTGTTGGCACATCTCTCACAACCATCTCGAGAATCGTTGAAACGATTGTCGTCTGCGTATCGATCTGCATCAGATCAATACACTACTCGCGACGGTTTACTGTATTATACAGCCATTACTGGTGACACACCACGTGTTGTCATCCCAGATGATACTGATCTGCGTTTGCGGATCATGTTCGAGTATCACGATGCTCCTATAGGAGGACATCGTGGCCGAGAGAAGACATATCTCACGGTGAGTCGAGACATTTACTGGCCCCGCCAGTATCAGTTTGTGCGAAAGTATGTTCGCGCATGCGAAGTCTGTCAACGAGTGAAGTCAAGTCCTTCACTGCGTGCACCTTTACAGCCTCTACCGGTTCCGGATGAGTGCTAGAATCCATCTCAATGGATTTCGTCTTCGAGTTACCCAAAGACGTACGCGGGAATACGGGTATTCTCGTATTTGTTGACAGCAAAATGGTACACCTTGTGGATGTACCCGAGTCAATCACAGCAAGTGGCTTTGCTTGTGTCTTTATCGACACCATCTTACGACTTCATGGTTTGCCCCGTGAACTCGTATCAGACAGAGATCCACGATGCACTGCTGATTTCTGGCGCTCCGTGTTCAAATCACTCGGAACGCGCTTGAAGATGTCTACATCTGATCATCCCGAGTCAGATGGTCAGACGGAACGTGCCAATCGTGTCCTTGAAGAGATACTTCGAGGATACGTACACTTCTTGAAGAGTTGGAGTGAGTTCTTGCCAATGGTAGAGTTTACCATTAACAACTCGGTGCATGCGTCCACGACACATACACCGTTTTACGTGACTGGCTTGCGCCATCCGCGTGTACCCACCTTACTAGAGTGTAACTCTGGTTTAAGGGGGGGACTCGCGCGAGCAAAAACCGATTTGGTTCACGCTCATCAGGCTCTGACGAAGAAGTCATTGCGTTTGATGCCGATATCGACAACATCGATATCGAAGAAGATGATGCCAGTGATAGTGCGGAAGCCCTCACTGAAGAAAAGATTGATGTTGCTGCAGTGCACTCACAGCGCACTGAAGCTAACGAGTCATCAGATGAGTTCATACTGGCTCGTGAAACGGTAGTCTGTTTTGTGCAAGACTCCATCGCCGAAGCGGTGGATAAGCAAAAGCAAAACGCTGACAATAATGGAAGGGCAAACACTCTTTTATTTAATAAAGATGACTTAGTCCTACTGTCTACGGTTAATCTACCAAAGCATGTAGTGCCTAACTTGGGTAGCAGTAAACTTCTACCCAAGTACATCGGCCCATTTCGTGTATCGCATCGCCTAGGCAATGCATACACGATCGAGTTACCACGTAAGATGCGAACGCATCCCACGTTTTACGTTGGTCGGCTTAAGCCGTACCATCTGTACGCTGTTTCTTCCGATGAAGAACGCCCTTGCGTTCAAGCATCTCACAGAGGGCCTTGTGCTTACGATGGTGGATATCGACAAGGGTCTGAAGAGCAGTTATTTCAGCCCGAGACCGGTCAATATCCACACGAGCTACCCTTAGCTCGTCACGAAGAGATGTCAAAGCTCTCTCGTTCTCAAGCTGAGCAAAGGCATACTCAGCTCGATACTTTGAGACAGTGTCCGCCATTTGGAGACGCCTGTCCCGCTCATGCTCGAGGTCGCCGCGTAACCCTTGCGTTACGCGATCAAAGAAGCTCTCGGGAACACACCGATCCACATGATCGTGTGGACAGCGTCTTTCCTCCTCCTCCACCTCCATTAGAGGACTCCCGCGGTGGCCAGCGCTATCTGGTTGAGCAGCTGTTGAACCACCGCGACATGAACGGACGTCGGACGAGTTACCTCGTCCGGTGGCGCGGTTATTCCCCGTCCTTGGGATACTTAGGAGCCCCGCTCCCAACTGATGATTGACTCACTGGGTCTCGTTGAGCAGTACGACGCGGCACATCCTGTGCCGCAGAAGTACCGACGGAAAAAGTCTTCCCGGCACGGTGATACAGTAATTCAAGGTTGTCAATTCCTTCGTACATCTCACTAGAGATACGTACGCGCCACCACGGGCTGGTAAGGAGGTAAGCCTCCTTAGGTGCGCGCGCAGAGTTGTTCACACAACATGGGCACGAGTCTCCCCAAGAGAGGCAGGGTAACCCACTCTCCTTAGACAGACGATGGAGCTTATAGCGTGCACCTATCAGGGTTCTTTTCTCAAACTTATCACGAGCTTTGATAAGTTTGTCGTTCCAAGCGTCACGACCTACATCCTCAAGGTTATGGATGTAAGCGTTCCACGCTTAAAGCAGTGAGGAACCATCACGTTTGTGATTCCCACTGTACCATCGATGTCTAAAGAAAGCATCGATGAAGAACTCATTCTCAGCGCGGTAGTTTTTCGCGCTGGGGTCAAGGTGATGGATCCTTGACGAATCGAACAATCGTGTTCGATAACGATCACTCGTCGTCGCCGACAAGTGATCCATGACTGATTTAGGAGGCATCCATGCCTTCTTTTCTGGAGCGAGACGCAACACACTGCGGTCCCGCTCTTCCTGCGATGTGCCGACAGAAGGACTAGCACCTCGTTTCGAAGTGGTGTCCATAGGAGAACCGACACCACAGTGAGCGCCTGAGTCTTGCGATCTCGAGCGCCTTCGCTTTGGCGATGGTTTATCTGATTCGTCAGATGAATTAAAGATGCTACGACGCGTAGAATCATCCATGTCACGCCTGGCAGGCGGCTTAGATTCAATCGCCGTCGATACGGATCCGTCTTCCGTATCAGGAGAGTATGAGACACCGAGCTCATACTCTGTGAAGACACGAGTGTCTTCACGACGAGCGTCTGCATCACCAGTATACACAGACTGAGTCGCTTCAGCAACCGATGACACATCAGTTGCTGCGGTTTCTGCTTCGGCGTCCGCACAGAGACGTGCAGACGCGCTCTCGGCGGCCTTGCTCGCGCATCGCATGGGCTTGTTAACCATGCGATGAGATGTTGGAAAGTGGACGCGGACCAACAAGTGCAAACCCTGTCCCAAATGATTTGGGACGAGTATCCATTTAGTCAATCAGTCACTAAAGTGACTTATGGTTAAGGGGGGGGTGATGTAACGGGGTAGATCGTTACATAACAATTTATAAGAAATTGTTAATAGAATGTAACTATAAGAGTTATATTCTCAGAATATTGTCATAAGGACAAATATTCTGTTGCACTTGCAAGTAGTTCCTGATTGGTTGATATAGGCCATTATATCAACCAACGAAGACGCGCCACGACGGACGCACGCAATGAATGGTGAGCAGATAGTTGATATGCACATTTTCATTCAGACACAGTTAGATGAAGATAAATAGTGATTTATTCACAGACATTAACTATGCTAAATACAGTTCTATTTTTCACTTTAACCAAGTACTCGCTTCTTCTTACCGTCTTCCTCTGCACGTACCAGTGTACGCGAAGTTCCGAGGCACCGCCTTATTCTGTCATCAGAATAAGTAGCTTGTACTGTCACCAGTACAAGCTTCAGGGTGCCCCGTTACACCAGTCGGAAACGGAGGGCCTCCACTTTCATCTTCGTCATCAGAGCAATCAAAACCGATGACTCGATATGTAACGGGGCCCACTTTGTTTGGGTGCCGCAAAACTTCACGTACACTCGTACGTGCAGAGGAAGCTAATCTACGTGAACGACTCGGTCAAGTAAAGGTAAAAGAGAACTGTATTTAATATAGCTAGGCTATCAGTACAGCTTTAATCTTTATCTAATTATATTAAAGTACGCCGTCGTTTGACGACAACCTGCTCACCACTCATTGCGCGCGTCTAGCAGCGATTGGTGGTAATCTATGGCTGATATGTCTTTTATCAACCAATCTTGAAGCAGTGCATGAACATGTTCCTAAAAGGGATGATGTTCCTTCCATAGTATCCGTCTCGGATAATATTGGTAGAATATCGTCATGCTAGACAGTATTTCTATTGACACCGTTTGGTGTCAATTTCATGTAACGGGCTACCCCGCTACATCACCCCCCTTCAGCCATCAATCACCCGTTGATTAAAAGTAGAATTGATCGGGAACGCGGTGATCAATGTTAGGTCACTCCGGGAAAGGGAAGCACTTGTTGGTCAAATTCTATCTCATTTTCAAATTCATCACACGGTATCAAATTCCCTGCGGTGCGCTGCTCAAGCTATCAGGGAGGCAGCTGCACGCATGCGTGCCGCCCAAGAAATTACTTCTCTAGCCTCAGCAGCAAGAAAACATTCGCCTGCTGTTGCAAGTGAGCAACATGCAGTGCCTGTTGCTACTTTTCCACGTGTTGAGTCACCACGTGCTATAGATGCATCCGCTGCGTCTGCGGCGGATGCTGCGACTCACAATTTAGATGAGCCTGAAACAGAGCTCATCTATTCCGGCGAGTCTAATGCATCGTTCGAGTCGAAGGCGGCGCCTCCTGCCTTCGGATGACCCGGAGCGGACACTGCCAGAGCCAGTCAACGTGGCGGCATCATGCTCAAGATCTTTATATTGAGCGATTCTTCTGACAAATCTGCGCCTCACGCAAGTCCATCTGACACTAGGACGCGTGGTGATGGTTGTGACACACCTATACGTCACCACAAGAGAAGCAGCTCGAGAGATTGAGCTGATACTGGTGTCAGTGCTCATGCTGACACCACACAATCAGTCAGGAACCGCAATGTCCTGCGCCATGCTCCAAAAGCAGAGCATTTTATTCAACTATCCAAGGCGTTAGATTGAGTGACCGGTATGACCAATGAATGGGATCGAATCTCACTGTCTGACTGCAGGAGAAACTGTCCTTTTAAATCCAGCACGAAACCTATCCATGCTGGGGAAGAATTCTTCACCGATGTGTTTTTCAAACAAATTCTTGACCGTTGTGTTGTTCAAACATCGGCGGTACAACGACAACGTGGCCAACCGTGGCCGAGACTTTAAGGACTTGGTGCAAGGATGGAATGCCCTCAACCACAACATCGAGTGCATAGGCCGTGAGGCTTGGCTCGCCAAACTTGATGCAGTTTGCATCCGGTTTGAGAAACGCAACCCAGTCGGTGTACGGTACAAGTTGCACCGGCTGTCAAGAGAGGCAGGATTACCCTATCTCTCGTGGGGTGATTTGTGTCCAGGTTGCCTGGACAACTCGAACCGTGCCCCTAGGGAGGCCTACCTCCCTAATGATCCCTACTGGAGGGCACGCATCTCTTCTGAGATGGCCGAAGGGATTGATACTTTGCAATCCCTGTACTCGCGTTCGGGGAGGTCGTTTTCTGACGGCCCTTCTTCAAACGCAGCAGGTGGGTCTCGTCGTACTTCTCGACGAGACCAAGGACATCAACAATCAGCTGGGCGTGAGGCTCCCAGCTGTCCCAGGCCGGTGCAAAAGCCATTCACGTCGCAGTGGTTCAAAATACGCTTCACTAGGAAGCATTGACCACCGCTTGAGTCTGCCAAAGGATGTGGTGGTGGCGGGAACACCTGATCCGGCTCGAGGGTCGGATTTACTTGATGTTCAAGAGCTGAACCGTCTAACGGAACAGTTGCAAGATGACCTGGCCCATGAAAGGTCTCGGCGCAATGAGCTCCATGACCTTGTAAAGGATAATTACAATTCCTTAGCGCACGATCGCTCGAGCGATTGTGCCACGCTTGCTTTCGCACAGATTAAGAACGAACGTTCGACTGGTTCTCTTCGTGACGAGATGGCTGCAGCTCGTCAAGACATCGCTCAACTTCGTGAGCAGGTCGCTTCGCTAGTCGACCAGACTGGCTCGTTGAAATGGGACCACTCGAAGGTGGTCTCGGCCCTCGACCGCGGAGGTGTTCTTCGCGTCTCGAAACAGGCTCGTACTGATAGTACGAGCGGAGACGTCCAACTTAAAACGCAGGATGTGTACGCATCTTACGGGCAGTTTAATCGTGTATGCGTTGCCCATTCGGCGCAACACAAGAAATGGACCGATGTACTTGGGCAGTAATTTACTGCTGCCCACGTTTGTCACTACGTGTTTCGGTAAGTTTACTGTAGACAGTAAAACTAAGTTTCCTTCGTCAAATGAACGAACATTTGCTCTTCCATGTTTGTCTGCGTTTCTTTTCTGTTTTGTCTATTGCATCTACGATATGATCTTGAATGAAGCGGAAAACCGCTTCGCGAGTCAACAGTAATTCCTCTGCTGATTCATCCTTGCCAACAGCAGTGCGCTTCGTGTGCACTGCTGAAAGAACGTTGTCTTTACCAGTGAGGGCGTCATCGTCCTCACTTTGGCAGTCATTGGCGATGCTGAATATTCCAGCATCGTCGTTATCATCATCATCGATGTCGATCGCATCGATCAACATCGGCATCCATCACGTCGACACCATTGTCGACGGGTGATGAGCAAGAACCAGATCGGTTTTCGTTCGAGCGAGTACACCCCCCTGAACTAGAGTCACACTCTAAGAAGGCAGGTAAACGTGGATGGCGTAGGCTATTCACGAAGAATGGTGTATGTGTTGTAGACGCATGCACCTAATTGTGTATGGCGAATTCCGCATTGGCAATAACTCACTCCAACTTTTAAACGAGTGGACATACCCTCAAAGTATCTCTTCGAGGACGCGTTTGACGCGTTCCGTCCGACCATCTGTTTCTGGATGGTCAGAAGTTGACATCTTCAACCGCGTTCCAAGGGAACGGAACACGGATTGCCAATATTCCGCTGTGAAGCGGGGGGTCCCTGTCAGACACGAGTTCACGGGATAACCCGTGAAGGCGGAGGATTGTAATAAAACAGACACGAGCACAGCCTGGTCTGTGATCGACTCCGGTGCAGCAACAAGATGTACCATCTTGCTGAATCGATCAACAAAAAACAAAAGAATAACAGTATTCTTGAGACCGTCTTTAAGAAACCGAAAGACGAAGTACAGGCTGCAAGGGTGCACGGGATGAAGGACTAGGCTTCACCCGCAGGCAAACTTCGCAAGCGCGAATGTATTTGCGCACAAAATTATACTGGCGGGGCCAGTAGAAGTCACGACTTACCGTGAGGCAAGTCTTTTCTCTAACGTGATGCCCACTTGTTGGGGCATCGTGGTAATTCATACATGATGCGCAATCGCAAATCATTATGAGCCGGAACGACGACACGAGGTGTGTCGCCGGTGACTGCTGTATAGTACATCAGTCCATCACGAACCGAATACCGTTCGGTTAAAGAGCGGTATTGAGACGACAAGCTTTTCAAAGCTTGACTGCATGGATTGTACACGTAATCCATCAATCGCGGAAGAGACTCATCTTCTGCGTATGCTCTTCGCACGTCGTCGAGCAGATTCGACGACGGAACACTCACTGTTAGTGTTGCTACAGTGGTATCACCCCTACTGTTGTGTTGAGCAGTCGGCTCGAAATCGGGCCGACGCGAAAGAGCATCAGCGACGACATTAAGTCGCCTTGATCTATACTCGACGGAGAAGTTGTACTTCCCAAAGAGAGACAACCATCTTGCCATTCGTTGCGAGAGGTGTGGACTGTTAACGGCCGTGCGTAACGACGCATGGTCGGTATAAACGATGAAGGGCCTATCTCCTAAGAGATATACCCGGAAACATAGCCAGTGCATATTTCATGGCAAAGAGTTCCTTGTCATGCACCGGGGGATTACTCTGAGCTGCTTGCAGCTGACGCGATTGATAACAGACGACGCGCTCACCACCGTCTGAGTCGTACTGCATCAATGCGCAGCCGATTGCAAAATCGCTGGCGTCACAGACCACATGGTATGTTCTGTCCTGATCTGCAATTGCCAACACAGGCGATTGTATCAAGCTTTTCGTGATAAATTTAAAAGAGTGCTGACACTCAGCACTCCATGACCACCTCTCGTTTTTCTTTAGCAGACGAGAGAGATGTACGGTCATCTCGGCGTAGTTGCGCGAAGACTTGTGCAAATAAACCGCCAAGCCAAGGAACTTTCAAAGTCACTTGACGTCAACTGGCACAGGCCACTCGCTAATCACCTTGATCTTTTCCGGATCAGGGCGTACGCCGTTTTTACCCACGATGCAGCCAAGAAGTAGCATTTCGTTCGCTGCGAATAAACACTTCTTGAGGTTCGCGAACAAACTTACGCTCTCGCCTAAGTGTAAGAACCTTCTGGAAGTGGAAATTGTGAATCTCCACGTCCGTCTTTCCATCCATAGCCCGGCTATGGACGAAGACATCGTCAAAGTAACTCGGCGCGAAGTCACGCACCAGTCGCAACAGATTCGTATCACACCTGTTGACCGTTGCAGGGGCTTTTACTTAGCCCCTGTGGCATCACTAGCCACCCCCAGATCATACCACTGGGGGTGCTCACTGCTTTGTACGGCATGTCCCGTCCACGCATGCGGGATCTGATAGAATCTATCCGTCAGATACATGGACGAAAAGATGGTACTCTTTGACACACCATCGATGATCACGTCTTTCCTCGGTATCGGCGTCAGAGCCGGTACCGTTGCATCATTCAACTTGTTAAATACATGCACTATCCACCACCCTCCTGTTGCTTTTCGCACACAGAAGGTTGGGGAGAGCTATGTGGGGGAGCTGGTTCCCTCCACATGACCATCCGCTAAGCGATCGTGCACAGAACTCTTTCGATCGCCGCCGTGACCTGTTGACGAGGCAGTAGCCACTGCTTCATGACACAGTACTTCAAACCGGGTTTCAGTTCGATCTCACGTCTAGTGCCTTTGTCCTTAGGCAGCTTGCATGGCACGGATTCAGGGAAAATATCCTTGAGTTCAACCATATTCTTATACAAAGGATTTGTCTCCAAAGACTCCCAAGATTTGCGATGTGTACCGCTCAATCCGGGTATTCTCATCGAGGACACTCTCATCTATCGATGAGCTACTGAGAACCCGTTCGTTCTCAGTAAACACTTGTGCCGACCGAATATCGGCGATGTACTCGTCCTCTGTGACGAGTACGCAGATCTGCTTGATCTTGTCACTACGCAGATCTCGCAAGAATCTTTTAGATCCTAGCGTTGGCAACTTGACCACCTCCGAAGCTGACTTCGGGGGCGTCACCAGATCAAGTGTATTAGCGCCTACACTTGATCCTTTATTCACCAAGACATTAACTGACTCGGTGATTTCCTGATGAAACGCATCCGCAGGTGGTTGGAGATCCACACCCTCAACATAACTCTCTCGGGAGTTATCACTCTCAGGAACGCCGGGACTTTCTTCCAATGCGTGTCCTGATTGTGGGTGCAATGCCACAGTCACGTCCTCTTCGATAGACTCTCTTTCAGTCGATCGTGTTTGCTTTACGATCGACTCTCTGATAGTCGATCTCGCTGTAACGTGTTGTTCAGGATGAACAACAATAACCTCTCTTCTCGGATGCATCCTTCGTGGTGTGCATCCGTGTTCCAGTCCACTCGATATCTTCGAGTGGTGAACCTTCGACGCATCCTGTGTCTCTACACAGGTGCCGGAAGCTGGTTCAACAGTGCAGTGGTCTTCTACACTGTGATCTTGTGCAATCGTACTGACGACCGTACCACAAGTGAGGTCATCGCACTCACTCGTATTACATTCACACGCTTGTGGACGCTCCAAGACGTTCATCAGATGGCCATCCGATGAACAAACGGCAGGCATCTTCACGGATCGATGCTGCCAGATGATACATGGCTGGTATTTTCGAAGCCATGTCAGACCGAGGATGACATCAAATTTGTCATCCAAATTAAGTACGATGAAGTCGTCATCGTATTTCCTTCTTTCAAGCGTGTAGTTAATTCCCACTACACGTTTGTTCACTGTTACGGATGCACCTGTAGCAAGGCACACCGTCATCCTCGTTGGAGGGAACTCTCACTCAACATAGTTGAGACTACTATCCCTTAGCGACTGGCGTCGAACAAAACTGTTCGACGCACCACAGTCAGCTAGGGCGCGAAGTGACATTCCACTTGTCACTTCGATCTTCAAAGTGATGAGGGACACCTCATCACTAGGTGCAGAACACACAGAGACTGCGTGTTGGGAGCAATCTTCACCAAGAGTCCTGCAAATTCTCTTGACGTTGCTGGATCAGCAGGGTGCTCCGTCCCTACTGACCCTGACCGCTTTGTCAGTCCGATCCGACTTGCTGTCGCGGCTTGGCGACATGGTCGGACCCACGCCTTGGACCTTTCCTTGGCCAACAGCGGTCATCACGTCCTTTCTTTGGACGTGTTCCAGTGATCGGGACACTACACTCATGAGCGAAGTGTCTGATCTTCTGAAAGCGATGGCATCTTGCCGTTCGCTTGTGACTCAGAGAGCGAGAGATCTCGCTCTCGATGTAACAGAGGTCCATTGGTTCAGGACCTCCAGTTTCCTGTCGCCTCGTCGAACGATAGTTTGACGAGTTAGCCTGAGACTGTCTCAGGCTGAAGTCTTCTTGTTCCGCATACGCTATCGCCTTTTCCAGCGTCTAGAAGTCCTCTCGGAACATGTAGGTCTTCATCGGCCCATCCACAAGGCCGTAGATGAACACGTTGATGAGCGTGTGCTCATCAACAGGGTTCTCCGTAACGCTACTCGAAAGGTAGCGCAGGTGTTGTGCGTAAGCGTGCACGTCACGCTTACCTTGCTTTAGCTTTAAGAGTGCAGAGCGTGCTCTGAACTCGGCTCTCGGCGGCTCAAACTTCTCTTTGAGCCGAGCCTTCAAGATCTCCAACGACTCAAACACGTTTGGGTCGTGAAGCTTGAGCCCTAAGGCCCAAGTCTTTGCTCGTCCTGTCAAATTGGATAGGGAGATTGTGACTTGCATCTCGTCACCCTCGATGTGACGGGCCCTGATGGCATCGTCAAACTCCACGAACCATCTCAAAAGGGAATCTTCATCGGTTCCCTTGTACCTTGAGATATCAATCTTCAAAGTTTCGGATCGACGCGTGTGCGTCGGCCTACCCATCGACTGATGAGAGCCTTGCTGTTGTAGCAAGGCTATCTTCTGTCTTTCAACGGCAAGTTCCCCCTGTATGAACTTGTTGATAGCAGCATGTTGCTGGTCTCTGCTTAGAGACTCCAGCATGCCACTGATTGCGGGTTCGCCCATGAGCCGACTATCTTCCATTCTGATCCACTCAGGTGGAAGTAGCCTTCACATGTGCTGTGAAAGCTATCGTCTTCCAATTCCGACATGTTCATGTTGGACGGACACTAAGCAGTCATTGGACGGACTACGAAGTGCTAGAAGGTGTAACGAGGCACCCTTTGTTTGGGGGTGCCACGAAACTTCACGTACACTAGTAGGTGCAGAAGAAGCTAATCTACTTAAACGACTCGTTCACGTAAAGGGTAAAAGAGAACTGTATTTAGTATAGTCAAGCTATCAATATAACTTTAATCTTTATCTAACTATATCCAACTACGTCGTCGAATTACGACAACCTGCTTACCACTCATTGCGCGCATCTAGCAGCGATTGGTGGTAATCTATGGTTGATGTGTCTTATATCAACCAATCTTGGAGCAGCGTGTGAATATTATTCTAGAAGGGGATAACATTCTTTCATTATTATCTATCTCGGATAAAATTGGTAGGATATTGTCATGCTAGACAATATCCCTATTGACACCGTTTGGTGTCAATGTCATGTAGCGGGCTACCTTGTTACAAAAAGGGTTGCGGCGACAACAGACGATTGTCTTTTTTTTAGTGGGGTCGTTGTTATAAAAATATATGGCTATACCGGCTCCTTAAAATGAATGTCCACAGGAGGTAAGATCGCAGGACGGCGTTCCGACCAAAACCCGACGTCGCGCCGCATTGCCTATTGTGGCACATACAATGACTACGTACTACAGCCGGCTAAGTATAAAGCATTTACGATTGGTTTGTGTCCAATAAAATCAACACGATAGAAAGAAGGCTGTTTTTCAACATTACGCAGCTTCATTTTCCTACGAACTCTAAGTACGATGGCGAAAGTGCAGCACTGATTCTGTGGAGATGCAAAAAGGACACTACAAAGATCAACAAAATGTCGCAAACTATCTAAAAGGTCATTTCTTCTGTACGTGTCGCCCTCATGACATCACTTAAAGTTACTAAAGTCCTCCCACATTCTCTTAAACTCGTCATTGTGGATACTTAAAAAGTTATAACGGATCATGATGGTGTCCGCAAAAATACGCGGGTCGACGCGCAGGACGAGAAGCGCCTGAAAACCTTGCTCCTCCAACTCCCACAGAGCATTTTGAACTTCACCAACGTATTGCTCAATAGCTGCCGGCGTTGGTATCTTGTTCTCCACATTGATCGGGGCCAAGCGAAAGCGGTCAGACAGAGGCACCTTGCGATCAGGGTGATGCATGGCCAATAACTTTTTTTCGAGGTCCTCAATGGAACTTGCGGGCACACCATATCGTTCTTCGTTGCTGTCCACCACTTAAGAAAAATTAATTCCATACAGGGGCGAATCGCCACCATCCGACGAAAGCGTGTTCGGGGCGACCGCCTTCGTCTCAGGTGTCTGCTCTGCAGTAATGGGGAAAAGCAAGACGCTTCCAGCTACCGTGACGAGAGCGAAATGTTGGAGAAGCATGCTCTTCGACAGTCACGTGGACAGGTAACCTGATAAAAAGGCCTTTGACACAATAAAAGGTTGTGGTGTGGATAAATTTCGTGAGTGAGAAGAGTGTGTGCACTCTGGGACAGTAGGAAATGATGGGTTCACGGACCCATGAATAACAACAAAAAAGGGCACAGTCCGCCGTAATGCTCCTTGCTGCTACGTACGATTAAAGCAGCGGTGGTGCAGTTAAAAACAGCAGTAGCCAGTTGTCCACCGAAATATGTCATATGCGAATGGGTTGTAGTTTAGCTAGAATATCTAAGTAATATGCAATAGTCCGGTCGTAACTTCGATATGTAAGGGCTCACACAGACAGAAATCGGCACTAAATGCTCCATCTAAAGATGTTCAGTGTATGAGCTTGTGAGGATATTGCATTAGGCGCGTTGCTTTGAGATATAAATTGTCGAGTGTTATTCAAGTCGACCTCTTCATCAACTGTTCGATCTTAACGGCGAACGACGAACGAATCACCAAGGTTTACAATAGAGGAGCAAGCTCTAAAACTCGCCCTATATACAAATAATATAATAAAGTGAACTGGATTAGTTCTGTAAATTTTACCTAGCCAATTCGAGCGGTTGGCGGCTGATCAATGGGCTGTATATATTGTGTGGAAAGTAAAAAAAATCCTGATGTGTGTTCATGCTACTTATCTTGCGTCAAAGAAGACTTCAAAATCACGTTGATATATGATGTTGTCTACGTCATATATCAACGTGATTTTGAAGTCCAATGCTTGTGGCATGTGTTCAAAAGATAAAGAACGAAACAGTGCAGGGAATCGATAGAATCTGTTGCCCTTTATAGGTCTTTTTGATGCCGTCGTAGGGTTTGTGAGGGGAGCAATTTCTGAGGTGCAAGTTGGGTCTCCAGATCCGCTCTTACGTCAGACGGACCCTAGCTTCATCATTCTCGACCAAGAGCACAAGCATTGAACACAGGAGTAGCGGTAGTAAGCAAGCTCTTGTCTTCCATTGATTTGCTAGTGAAGATCTAACTATCAAAGTATACACTAGGATGGACAGCCGACAAACAACTTGAATCTACTGATCGAACTAATGAGTGATTCACTTGTGGTGCCCGCAGTATATATAGTATATTTTCGGTACATCAATCAATCGCTCTATGCTGACTCAAACTGCTGCCGTGCGTTCCGCCACGACTTAATTTTGCAGCGTGTTTCACGTAGGGCTCCGTCTCGCAACGTCCCATCCTGCTCGATCCCGCATTCTATGATTACCTTACAACATACCGTCGAGATTCTACTAACTTTTGATCATAAAAATTCAATGGGAATCACGAGAGCGTAAAATGTCAGCGTCGTCTATTTTACATGTATTCGTACTTAGATTTAGTATTCATTGTCTTTATTTGACCTTTCTACCAAGCTATGCATCCAGACATTATAGATGCTTGCAAAGATGATTTGGTTGCCCCTGGCGACGATCCGATCGACGTCCTTGGCCTACTGGGGCGTCCCGACTTCAATCTATGGCATACTTGAGTCTTTATAAAAGTAAATCGATTGACTAAAAGCCACGTCAAGAGGTTGTACTACTCCATCAACATCAAAACCGCTTTCGAGCAATCGCAATAGCTTGATATTTGCCCAAGATCATGCTTCAAGACGTCGCTTCTCACTAAACCTCTACTGCAGTGATGTGGATGCGTGTGATCAATTTTCGCTATTTCTTTACCACCACGCTAAATTAGAGTTCTGCTTGCATGGGTATGTACTCGGCAAACACCGATTTGGACCGAGTGGATGAGGCATCCAGCTTCTACACTTGTTGTAGCACGTAAGTATCGATCCCAGAGCAAAGCACTTTACCGTCTCGCTATTATTCGCATTCTTTGGTGCCCTCATTGCGTGCAAAGGCGATCATGTGTATGCAGATTTGTCGTTACGAAGTATACGAAAACTAAGATGTTCAAGGATCTCGTCCCGCAGTATCGTGCGTCCCATCCCGTCCCGCGCGGGACGGCGTCCTATCCCCCCCAATCCATTTCCATTCGGAATATTCCTTC